AATCCCGCCTGCCGAACGGCCGAAAATGCGTGCACCGAACCAGCGCGGCGAACCGCGCGCCGCAGGCGGTGACGCCGACGCCGTCGGCCGAGGGCTTCCGGCACTGGCTCGAGGAGCGGCCCGCCATGTCGCGCTTGGGCGCCATGAGGCACGAGCAGCGCGCGCGCCGTGGGAGCGGTGGGAGGAGCGGAGAGGGGTGAAGATGAGAAGAAACACGGACTGAAATCCGCTTGGGTCGGTTGGGGTGGAGGTCTGACCACCATAGGCTGGGGGAATAAAGATGATGGAGATGGAGGACATGGAGGACACATTGGCGAGAGGTTCAGGTCTTTAGACTGGATTCAGACCACTTGCTGGTATGTTAAGTGTGGATGGAGTTGAGATTCAAGGAACGTTACACTCATGCGAACTGCCATGAGCCCTAGTCCAATCTCACTTTGCCCAACCTCTGTACAAGGATTTATCAAAGTCTACCGCTTTCATGCTCCTTTGGGCCTTTGGTCATTCAAAAGTTGTTTTTCTTTCTGTCGCCTGTCTCAACTGCCAGGCTCAGCAAAGTCAGAAACAGCTAGATGTTCAGATATGTTCAGTGACTCCCTATACTATAAAACAACATGTTTCACACCATGAAATGATCTCTTTTGGGAACCAACACCGGCACATGCCAGCCACGTGCCGGGTCGCCGCCGGAACGGCGGGTCGCCGGCGAACGGCGGAGTCCAGGTGCGCCACGGGCATCGCCTGGGATTTCCCCTTGGCCAAGAGCGAGAAGCGCGAACTGCTGCTGCAGCACTTCGCCCTGGGGGAACAGCACCTGGGCGGAGAAAGGTCACCGGAGCCGTGCTTTGTTTGCGGTCTGGGGAGTCTCGGCTCTTCCGAAGAAAGGACACACAGCTCGGAAAAGAGGTGATACGTGGTGGTGCATCGTTGGGTTTTAGATGGTTTGTTTAATTTGACACTTGGACACTGAGGGACTCAGGTGTAGTGTATAAGCTTTGCGAAGAGGAATGTATGAGCACCGCGTAGCGAGGCACCATGAACACACACACACATCATTCCAGCATATCACCGACTCTTGGTATCTCAGCTACTTCAGGGATGCCACATGCACTCACACACCCACTCACCTTCAACTATATATTGGCAACATCACAGTGTGTCATCTCTGTGTCTTCGTTCGTCATGTTTTGTCCATGACTCGCACGACAGTCGGACGGATGGTCTTCTTTTTGTTTGTCAGGATGGCAGAAGAGAACGCCTCTGAGGCTGGGCGAATCTGCGGGTGTTCTTAATACCAGTACCGGTCATGTGGACCTCACATTCGATGGAGCACGAGTGTCATGAGTGTCACTTTCTTAGCAGACCTTTCTCGGGGTAGTCCGTTGACATTTAGACACCCCGTTCATTTGGATTAGTGGAACATGAGCGGATTCTGGGGAGTTTGATCCTTCTTTAGGCAGACCTTGTAATGACCTGGTCCTTCTTGGGGGGTACTTTGCTTTTTGATTTCCAAAGTACTTTTCTCCGGCTCTTGCATGAATCAAGTTGTAGCTTTTAGGAGGGTAGCAGCCAGCTTCGAGTGAGGATTTGCCATTGCAACCTTCATCTCTTTCATGCTTTAGATGTAGTACATGCATTTATCCGCAGCGACAGAGACAGCATGGTGCAGGGTTTAAGCCCGTTTGCATCCACTTCCATGAAGGTCTCAAATATTGGATCCATCCCCTCCCAAACCAGTCGACCAGACCAACACCCGCACGGCATGGAACCAGGCCGTGCGCTTGGCCCAATGCGAAGTGCGTCAGCATCGCAAGAGCTTGGAGTCTGCGAAGATGCAGCTCAACAGGAGACGCTCGCGGCTCCTTTTTCATCGGTTCCTCTTCATTTCGCAGTTCATTGGAGTTCATTTTTGATGGGTGGTGTTGCAAACGCATCATTCATGCAGCTCGGCAAGTTTTGGCGAGCTGTCGATGGTTCTGGTAGGGAGGTTTCGCATCACAATTAAAAACATCATCAACGTCCCATTCTATTGAGCTGAAAGCTCAACTGCTCCAAAATCAGAGGCATGATGTGTGTGTTTTTCCTTGGTAGGACTTGTGTTTTTCCTTCCTCCCGAAGAATAGTTGGCTGAAGCGCCACCAATTATTATATACTGAACACCAGTCAAACCCCCAGTCAATCCCAGTCAGGGATATCCACTCAGGGTCTTCATCCAGTCCAAGCACTCAAGTGCTCTCCGTTGCTTCGTTCACGGCCGCCGTCTCCGTCGCCATCGCCGTCTCCGCAGGATGCGAAAGACCCGGCGGCGCACGAGCCTGGGGCGGTGAGAAGGTTCCAGACCCAGTCGGTGCAGTTTCTGTGACTGAAGTGACAGACAGAAGAATTCCATTGGTCAAAAGATAAAAGTGGACAGATGAGTTGTTTTTAATTCAATAGATCAGTAATTGGATCAGCATATTAATGTTCTTTACGACAAGTGGGTGAATTTATCATAGTATACCTTTTGCATTTCTCTTTCAACATTGAGCCGTCATTTGTCCTGCGCTGTGTCAGGTCTATCTTTGGGTCATTTGAATGGCCAAATCGAGTTGCTGACCCGGAGTACTTTAGCGTGGCATGTGTCTCACCAGTGGATTTGCGGATTTCATCTATTCACGTACCGACGTACTGTATTCAAGGTTCTCCTTAGGTAGGTTTTATGTTCAAGATGTTCATGTTTGGTGCATGTTTCTGATCTCTTGGATGGTCGAGTAGGTGGTCCTTTCCCTGCAATGGAGCACGAAAAGCATTGATGCAGAACCCTGGCCCTACGACATCTGCGAATCCGGAAACAGGTCAGCTCAGGCGGTCAGGCTGTTGATGTGTGCCAGAAAATCTCGAGATGCACTGGGATCACCCACAGATGCGGATTGGATCAGAGATCAGAGCAATGATGATGGTGATGTTGAAGACTTCGATCGATCTCGCCGAGCCAATGCATGAAGGACGATCCTGGTATCGTTTATTGGTTTTAGGCGAAGAATGACTATATATAGATGACTTTTTATCAGGGTGAGGGTCCTGGTCTGAATGCGATTGCATTGGCTGTTCATAGTTCCTAAGTACCCCAAATTGCCCACATCACGTGCATTATCACTATCATGACCCGACTTTGACGATGGCTAAAGATACCTTGGGCCGTTGATTTCCCATTCCAAAGGATGATCAGGACCCTCCCTACCCCTCGACCCTGAAGCCAACAGCCTCGGGTTGAAGATAGTTCTGGCCTTGGAAACGCAGAATGTAGGTATAGCATGAGTTCATTGTGCCCGAAATCGATGTTTCAAAGGCCATGCCGAATGCCAAGTTGTCAAATGCTCCGCGACCACATGCAGGCTGTCCCAGCCCGAAAAAGGATCAGCTCGGCCGCTCGGCCCTGTGCAATTTCACAGATTCTTTCAATGTAATCCCAAGATGCAGGTCATGCAGCCTCGCAGCCTCTTCGATGTGTTCACTTTCGTGCGGAAGACTCTTGGATCCCTAGTCCCAAGCAAGCTGTTGGTTCAAGCAGCGGGTGCGGAAGACTGGTGCAGTCAGCACAGATCTGCGCGGGCTCCTCAGGTCGTCGAAGTCGGAGCACCACAGAGGTCGGGCCCGGCGCCATAGGAACTAACCCGGGCACTATAAAGCAGCTCCATAAAGGCCGAAAGGGGTGCATGGATGTTCAAGAATAGTTTGGTCCTGGAAGTATGGACCGCACCCTAAAAAGATCGAAGGAGACACCACCCGACAGCTATAGACAATATAGTTTTGGAGTTCTGAGTTTTGGACATTAATCTTCTTGGCAGGAGCATGGCTGGGGTGTAGTCAGAAATGTGGAAACGCTTCTTGTCCACTTCTGAGCACAGATGACCGATGAAAGATTTCACCGGGCAGAAATAAGCAGGTCCGACCGGAGTGAAAAGAAGCTAAGTGAAGCATGTAGCATGCGGCTATATATGTTCGCTCTCACATTGTATAAATTTAGTTAGCAAAGTACCTATAGAATTTCTGGTCACATATGGCACCCCGAGTGGGCATGAAGCTTTGAGAAGTGAGTGACAAACTTGTAACACTTATTGCCATGCTCGAGCTTGGTGTGTTTTCTAGCCAAGTAGGCGGCTGTGTGCCCGAGCTTTCACAAATTTGGTTCAATCATGTTCAATCCATCAGACTTATGTCCTGTTGTTCCTCAACAGTTCCTTTAACTGCACAATGGTGTTCCTTCAAAGACAAGTTAGCCTTGCCGAGACTTTTTGTAAAGCAGACTTGTTGTAATTGCCCAAAGGGCATTGTCATCTAGACTTTTCTTCTGAGATTCTGGAATATACCAGCAGAAATCCTGCATACAGCTTTATACCTCTGCAGAATTTCCAAGCGAATTGACACTCAATGTCTCAATGTGCACTCGTTTCAATTTCCGGTCCCTTTTCTGTTCTCTAATTACCTCTATTCCTTCAGAGGTTTCCAGACATCGATATAGGTCTGCAACATAGAAAGCTGATTTCGCAGGGCCATCGCGGGCATTCGAACCCCCTCGGAGCTTTGCGAACCAAAATCGATCCGATTCCCATTCGGATTCGGAAGACGACCCGCCCGGGCCCAGGTGGGATCGACTGCGAAGGCGCTGGGCGACACCGGTGGAAGGGACTTGGTTAGGAATCAGTTGATTGCATATGAGCATATATACCCCATGCAATTGGATGGAGCCATGCTGCCATGCTGATGAATATGAGCACATCCAAGGCTGTTATATGACTGAACTTCACGTCTTCGTGCATTTTGCCTGACAGATCACTTCATGCTTTTGTCGCGAAGTGGAACGGACGCCCCGGCACTTAGCGCAGTTGATTTGGCCTAAGTGGGAGGTCAGTCAGATCCAACAGCACCATTCCGAGGCACCTGAGCAATTCGAAGAACAGAAAAGTCACAAATCACGTATAGAGGCAAGCCTGGCCGTGCCCTGCGCGAAGTGCAGAGCCATGCCGGAGAATTCGGAGAGTGCATGTTCACGGATGTGTTTCCGACCGATGAAACTTTGGACGTCGATCGACGAAGGACGAAGGAAGCAGCTTGGGTTCCTCGGAGGGTTGGTCTTCACGGCGCTCTTGAACGTTGCGGACTTCGTGTCGGATTGGTGGGTGGTTTTGGGATACGGCTGCATATTCGATACCAAGCTCAGCACAGAATGTGGCCCTGGAGATGCGACCGGAATGCAGGAGACGTGTCAGGTCCATCCGTGGTGGTTTGGTATTGGGCTTTTCTTACTGATCGCATCCAATCTGTTTCAAAGCGCGGTGTGGACATACTGGGCAGTGGGCATCGATAACGGCATTTTATACAATTTCGTCCGCCAACCTGAGACATGCTGTGGCTTTTTGGCCGTATGTTTTGTATGTTTTGTGCTGGCCTTCTTGCAGTTCCATTACATGGTGGATATTGCCGTGGCTGTCCGCCTCGGTGCTCCTGAAGAAACAGACGATGCTCGTACCGATTCCATCATTGCTCGAGAGTTGGCCACCAAGATCCTGGAAACGATTCCGCAGCTTTACATGCAGAGTTATATTCTCTTCGTCACCGGCACCCACGGCGACCCTATAAAGGTCACATCTATTGCGATCTCGGTCCTCGCCCTGAGCCACGGCATGCTGAAGGCAGTGGGCATGGATCCTGATCAAAAAGCATTGAAGAAGTTGCCATTTCGCTTCGTCTCATTCCTCTTCTTAGCGTCGGACCAGGCGATGCGGTCCGCCGCCTTCTCGTTGGTTTTGTCGCAGGAGGTCCGACCCTTCGGGGTGACGCTGATGGCAGTGGCCGCGGTGGCAACGTGCGGGACGTACGTGTGGACAGCAAAGGCTGGGGACGATCTGGGAGAGAAAGTGGTCTTTGCATTTGTGTTTTTTTTCACGATCTACCTGATCCCAGTCTGGATGTGGGGTGACAACGATGATGAACTCTTGGGAACGGTCCGCGGTGTGAGAATCCGCTGGCTTGAGATGCTGCTCTGCGCCGTGTTAGCCTATCTGGTGGCCAAGACCAACTGCGGCCACGCACCGAGCCACGAAGTGGCCGGACTGGTGGGCCTTTTAGCCTTCAATCTTGCAACCTACGCTTTGATGCGCAGCTGCTTCAATTGGAGAACCGGAGACTTTCGCTTCCAATCGACCTTGGAGGACTGGTATCGATGCATCACTGGGTGCTGGACCAAAGGCAAGGCCGAGGACGATGAAGCCAACGCTCTCACAGCTGAAGACAGCGACGGCAACGATGAAGTCTCCAAGGTGGAGCCAGAAGCCGAGCCTCACGAGGCCGAGCCGAACGAGAAGCCAGAGATGGTCACCACGAATGAGTCTGATGACGGAGCCAAAACGAAGCCGAAACGAAGAGTGTGGAAGAATCTGAAGAGAAAACCCAAGAGTGTTGCAAACCAGAAGGAAGGAGAAGAAGTTGTGCAAAGAACGTTGGCATCGTTGGATGCCGAAGAGGAAGACCCGACTTCCGGAGGGGATTTGCAGATTGATGTGGAGGACCAAGCTGACTTGCCTCAACTGCCCAAGGAAGAGAAGAAGAAAATTAAGAAAGGGAAGAAAGGCAAAGCAAGAGGTTTCCTGCATTTGATCTAGATCGACGTTTGGGATTTCCTGTCACTTGTATAGTTCTGCGTGATATATACATGCATATTATGTATATTATATATATGTTATTTATGTGTACCAGATGTCATCAGTCGCATCGAACTTCATTCATTGCCCCCCCTGCTGGTCCCAACTTGGTTTGCAGAGTGGTTTTGGGGTTTGCAACGTTCCCCGCACAGATCAATCATAATGATTTTCTCATAGTTTTCTTAGTGTTTTTTTCATGTTTTCCATATAGATCATAGACTGAATTACAGCTAAGCGGCATATCTCGAGAGTATTGTCCAATCTATCGTGCCATTTGTACGACTTGTTATTTGCCCTTTGCTTCTTCCAGCATCCCCAGCTGTTTTGACAAACCCCAGGCACCAAAGCAAGATCGTCGACATCACCAGAAGCCTACATGGTAGGCAGAGGTCTCGAAGAAGACCATCGATGAAAGAGAGATAGATTATCAAGAAGGATGAATGACTATAGCGATGACTGATGAGTGCTGTGGATTTTTTGGATCAATGGTTTCACGAAATATATTGTGTTGGCACTGCTATATGCAGCTACTATGCACTATGTTCGCCTCACTACATCGTCACCATCTTCGCCTGTGGTCGAGCGAACTCGTTTCATCATCTCACCCGAAGTACTCGGCCAGAACATCTGGACCGCTGTTTGAGCAGCCAAAAAGGCAGTTTCGAAGCAGAGTTGCGCGTGTTTTTTGGGGTCCTGGAATCTCAGATCTAAGGCAAAGCAGCAAATTGCCACTGTGCAGATTTCATGTCGACTTCGCAGGTGACTCAGTTTGTTCAGTTGCTGAAGCCATTCCGAAAGCCCCCCAAAAAAGGCCCATTCCATCGCCCCCCCCTCTTCCGGCAGGCCGGTGGAACTCCAACAAAGCGAAACTTGGTTGCACATTTGTTTCCCCTTTTCGGTCCCTACTGTACATAGGGTCCTCTAACATCTCCCCCCTCCCTTCTCATTCGAGTCATAAGTCATTGTAATTCATTGCGTTGTTTTGTGTTTGATGAATGATATTCTATGTGATTCTAGTGTGATTCTAACGTCAGTTCAGCGTTTTTGGGTGGATGGTGACTGGTCATCATGTTGCAGGTCAGCGTGGGGCAAAGGCGGATCCATACCGAAAAAGAGAAAACGCGGTTTGAAAAGAGGTCCCGTCATGCTGGTCGACTATGGCAAAGTCGCATGCCGGTCCGGCTCTTTTTGCTGCTCTTCTTCCGTTCTCCAAGTTGCCTTCAAACCATCAGCATCCAGTGGCATCCAATGTTTGTTGGGGACAAGCAGTTGACACACATCACGGACAATGCCAGTTAGTTGATACTGATTCACTGATTCTATCTGATTCTCATCATCTCGGGCTGCCTGGTTGGGAGTGAGCAGTTTCTATCTCATCCTGCAGCTTGAACTTCAAGCAGCAATATTCAGGAGTGACATCATAGGCCACAGAACGTTTCCCACCCACAGTGGGTGAGGTAATTTGAGGTGTTTGGACTGGGCCATTCTCAGAACGAGTCTCAAACCCAACAATTGGCAAAATAACTTGACTCCCCTTGTATCCTCATGCCAACCGTAGCAACCATGGAAACATGTCCCAAACCAACCGCTCCTGCTTCGACGGAAACAAACACCAATGAAGAGGTGGACATTCGGTGTGTTTTGGTGGGGCCCATGGCAAAGCCTGGCAAAGGGCATTCACCACCCAGCACACCCACCCAGCTGAGCTAGATCTGTAGCTGATGTCTCCCCAACCATCAGTCGCTTCCGTTGGCCGGTCACGCCGGGCGGTCACGTAGAGAGCTACGGTGTATGCATGTGCCCGCCATGTGCATCGTGTCCTCAGAGGACTGAGGTGAAGAGTTGGGTTGGTCTGGTGGAGATCAGAGTGCTTCAGATTCATAAGTGCACTTCCCTGTCTCGCTCGAGGAGATGCCAGGTATTAAGCGATGGTGGCTGTTTGGAGAGAAGCACCTACTAGTATCAAAAATTTCACAGGAATGGATTACAACCATTGAAGCTTGCCTGATGCACCTTAACTAACAACATATTGATGATGCATTGGTACCAAGAAAGGTGCTGCAGAGATCTCACATATTTGCCCCAGCCCAGCGGTGTTTAGCGACAAGTCATTAGATTTGCTGTTGGAAGTAAACCGCTTTGGGTTGTTGGTGTTTCTAGTGTTTTCATTTCTGCAGCAGGAGATGGCAAAATCTTTAAGCCCATATTGATGTCTAAACAAGGCCCAAGAACAGAGTCTCAACACTGTCAACCAACTTGGATGGTAGCAAGACCAATGGCCAGCATACTTGGTAATGCATATTTGTTGTATATTCAAACCATCTATTCCGATGCGGATGTTGGGTGCTGCAACAGAGAAGACCTCGACTGTTCATGACTGTTCCATATCTTCCAAACTCCTCACTACCTGGTACCTGCCTGACCGGAGCAGGAAGATGAAAACATATCCCAATGGTGTAGATTGTACACCCGCTTCCACGATTGATGTTTGTTTTGGGAGCTCACTCTCAGAAACGCTTACAAGCACATGGAACAATTGTTTGCCCCACAATGCTCTGACTCACACTTGCATCTGATTCACAAGCGTTTTGTGTTCGACATCTAGTCCGCAGACTTGTCCTGCAGTTCGTTTCCTGAAGAACAACTTCGTCCAGTACCAAACATCTACACTTGAGTCCTAGTAGATCAAACAGTCTTCCTAGATCCTCCAGGTAGGCCATGGCTCCATAAGCCTCCTATTAGTAGAGCCTCCTATTAGCCTCAAACAGTCTTTATTCTCCCTTTTTTGAGATCAAAACAGAATAGAGAAGAGATCTCCAGGCCCGGCACCAACCTGCCTCCCCACCGCAGGACCGCGCCCAGAGCGCGCTCCGGGCGGTGGCGCAGTTCGCCAGCGTGGCCGGACAGGTCGGAGCTGCAGCGCGACCCGTGTTGCATACATGCGTGTGGGGGAAGACACAGGTTGAGGATTTAATTCTATGTTCTAGTCTAGTCATGTTCTAGTCACAAGTCTTTTTTGTTTTGGGACTTCAGTTGTGTTTTATGATTTGGTTTAACACTTATACTCACTTAACTTTTTGACTTGTTGTTTTGATTCAGATTCGTCATGATGTGTCTTATAGAAGATGAACGTTCACATGGTTGAGGCTGCCTGCCAGCCAGTCGAGCATAGACGGGCACAGACCAGCTGCTTACCAGCTGCTTAGGGTGCCAATGTTCGAACGACCGACGATTCGTTGGAGGTCCAGCATGATGAGCTTCGATCTGCATCGCTGCAGGCCCAACTGAGATTCCCCAGCAGCAGGGAACCACAAAAAACATACTAAAATCCATCAAAATCCATTCATTCATCGCAAAGGCAGTAGACTGAACGGACGGCAGTTCGGCCATGCATCTTGCACACCTTTTTGCTACTCAGCTACTCAGTTACTCGAAGCCTCGGTTGCGTCAGTGACCGGAGCTGACCGGAGCTGACCGTCCAAACCAATCGGGTTGTGTGTCACCCTTGCACCAGGTGGCGCATGAGGCGTTGGCACAATGCGAGGCACAACCGGACAGGACTGGGGTGCAGCACTGCCGCAGTCACGCAGCGGGACTGGGGTGCAGCACTGCCATTTTTTTGGGGACTGGGGTCCTCTTGAGTCTATGAGAAGAGTCCGAAGGAAGTGAGTCTATGGGGTCTTGAGTTTATGAGTCTTGAGTCTATGAGTCTTGAGTCTATGATTCAAAAGACAACATGATCCTCAGAATATGTCGAATTCAGATGGTTCTTCAGACGTTCGGTGCCACAAGCTTCCATAGGTCCGCTCCGCTTTCGCCGGATTGGGTCGCTCAACCAAACCACCTTGACTTCAACATGAGGTCTATGGACAGCGCTGTGTGGAATTCCTCCTCACGGCTTTAAGACAGAGCACCAAGGCGCGGAGCGGCGCGCCAGGGACATCTCGGGTGGAAGTGACAGGAGGAGCGTTTCCCTCTTGCCGCCGTCCGGTCACTGGTCGGGCGGTCGCCGTCCATTTTTGACCCCGACTGCTAAGGAAAATAAAAATTAAAAAAATATATATATATATACTTGAGCAGTGGTTGACCTGGTTTTTGGCGCGTTGCATCCCGGTAATGGGTACAAAAAGGGTGACATTCAGGCCACCTTCCGTCGGGCTGGGAATCGATCGACTTGGCCGAACCTTTTGAGCGGATTATCCGTAAGACGGGACTGGTTCCGACGGGTGGTGATGTCGGGTGGTTCGCTGGCCTTGGGGTCCGGACCAGCTCACCTTGCTTTTGGGATGACGTCCTTTTGTTTTTTGGGATGGCCAGATCATCCCAGCTCATCCAGCTTTTTGCCGGTCCAATATCATATAAGTGCTGGAGATGGAAGAGATCGATTCTTCTTTTGGCTAATGGTACATGCACAACAGCCATCAACAACCAATGGCTTCAAGCCACAAGTGTGAATGTGTATGTTGAGAGCTTTCTTGGCTAGGCCGGGTCTCAAAAATGAATGAATGAGTGAGGCCGTGTCCTCATCTGGGAAGGTGGTGATCTTCTACACACGTGGATCTAGCAGCATCAGCCTCCATGTCAGATAATATCCACCTGTAGCTCCTGAAACCGTCAAAAAGATAGATCTTTCATGATCAACCTCCATCAACCTCAGAACCGAAAGATGAATTGGGTCCTCGGGCTCCAAAACCGAAAGACTATCCCAGGGCCCCGATGACCACAGACAGATGGATGCCACATGAAGCAAGTTCACCCGCATGTTCAGCCACACGTCTTCGTATCCATGGCGAACAGGCGAATGCCAGTGCGGTGGAGGACGTGATTTGGATGGTCTACAAGGCTGGGCCGGGAATGATCGGACTGGGAGGCACTGGCGGGGGAGGTTTGTGGTCCATTTCCGGGTGATGTTGACAGAACAGCTGAATAACAAGGCTTTTTAAAGCTGGGTGTGTTGCTTGTTTTGCTTCGTAGAGTGGTTTTTATGTTCCCCATAGAGGTGAATCCTCTTCTGGGAAATGATGTTTTTTCTCCAGTTCCTTGAGCAAATCCCAGTCAATTCACCGAAACGCTTGATCTTATAGACATCAGTGTTTCCCCTGGTTGGCTTGCTGTAGTCGCAGCGGAAGCCTCGCCTTTTGTTTGACGTATCGCCACCTCAGCGAACCTTGCATCGACCCGTTTGAACCTCCGCGTGGCTCCAGGTCGCGCAGAGAAGTGACACTGCCAAGGTGGGCAGACCGTTGGTGAAAGACGATCACGCATCACGCAGCATATCTTGATGGCTCAAATTCCGTTGGTTGAGGCTATAGATGGCTATATAGTCAGTCCATATCCCTAATCTGATCGATCAAGTGCTTTACTCATTCTCCATCCTCTTGAAGAACACTTTTTGAAATTCAGCTAAACGGGCCAAACCTCAATCCACATGGTCTGCCGAATCATGTTCCCCTCGAGCCAAGTTCACCTCCTAAAGGAAACGTGGACAACCTGACAACCTGCAAAAACTTGGAGGGTGATTGGGGGACACCCCACTGAACACACTAAGCAAGAAAGGCCTTCCCGGTCGGTCCGGTGTCAGCCCTTCCAGTATAGCTTTCTGGCTTGCTGCTTCCGGTTTCGGCCTGGGAACCCGTTCGTGAGGCCTGGATTTTGCACGCTGGTGGGGTGGCGGCCCTCAGAGTCTGGGTTGCCCAGAAGTGCCATGGGTGGGGAAGAAGGCATGATGCTACAGGAGTATTAGAACATCCTGCGGAGGATGAACTGGATGTTACTCAGCCCTCCATTTGGAGACTTGCACTCATCCAAATGCTGCTATGGTTCAAGGCGTGCAGACGTGTTAGAGGGCTGCAAGGGCATTTTGGGGCGCATGCTGTACAACTCACGGGCCTGTGTTTGGTGAATGTGCATGAGGAGGCAGAAGAAATGCTCGTGAAGGCCAGATATTCTCAGTAGCCCAAAGTGGCAGCAATCTTTAAGAACACTGAGCTCTCTAAGTGGTTTGATGAAGTTTGTAGTGAATTGACTGCGGACTTTGACACTGAGGCTCCTATGGGAAACGATTTCTGTGGGAAAGGAACATGTGCCAATTAACAAAATCAATAATTACATGGACTAGCTGATTAGCAGCCACAGAGACGAGTGTTGCCGGCATGCACAAGAGGAAAAGAGTCTCCCTCTCTCTCTCTCTATATATATATGTAATAGTGACTTCTTGTGAGTGGTTGTTGGTGGAAGGTTTGCTTCACGACCCAGGCGGCTGTGCTGTGCCATGCGGACCAGCCAGAAGCCCAAGAGACGACCAAGGGACGACCTGCGGATGGTGGATGGCGGGTGAATCGCAAGGGAGGGACATTTGCAGAAAGTTCTGGAGTTCTTTAACCTTTATAGGTAATGGCAGTGATGCCTCTTTTGTGCTTGTGGACACAGTGGTTCCGTGTCGGACGATCTCCAAGTCCAAGCGCAGCTGTTAATGTACATCACCGTTTGTGGCAGACCATGCTGTTGAACAGGTCTTCTCATGCTTCACAACCACTGTCTCCCCTTGGATCTCTCGTTGTTTGTCATCCTACAAAAAGACCATCCTCGATGTGAGCCCCAGTCCGGACCCGTGTGACCCGGCGCCAGGTCGCAGCTTTTGGAGAACGGCGTGTGGACCGTGTACCTTAAGACGTGTGGACCGTGGAACCCGTGTCCGGGACATATCGTCGCCCAACAGAAGGGAGCGTCGCAAGTTGTTGCGGTCTTCGCCCGAAATCACACTTTTTGGGGTGGTGTTCTGCATCTAAAAACATCACCCCAAAAAGTGAATGACAACACTGCCCTAAATTCACTTGGTTCGAAGTGAATGACAAGACTTAAGACGAATCGATTGCACTGTGAGTCCTATTGAGTTCAAGATGCACACACATATTCCCCTCCGTGGAGCTGCATCGTGTGAATTAGACGGCACATCAGAATATTAAACTATGAATAGACAGTATAATATACTGTAGTGGTCGTTGCCAGAAACTGTTACAAACTGCAAATTGTGAATTCAATTGGAAGGTGTATAAGTTCAATCTGTTTGTGGCTCACAAACAAAGACAAAACGTGGAGATTTGGACAGGAGAACACGACAACACCTTAGGACGAGCGACGGGCAGGTACGCGCTGGATGGGCTCCGTTCCCTTGCAGAGCTCCTGGAAGGGTGCCCTGGGTGCAGCGTCACCTTGAAGGAATCTGTAACCGGTGGAAACACAAGAGGTGGAGTAGCTTGATAGTTAGCAGGTCTTGTGGGAGAGGCTGTGTAGATTTTTGGCAGGCTGAGAATCAAGTTGCATTCTTGGGCTATGTCGATTGACGGTCCTTAAAACCATCCAAAAACCTAGAAACCCGAACACTTCAGCTATGACCAGTCCAGTCCTTTTCACTTCGTGCTTACTTCGTCAGGTGTCGCGGCTCCAGCCTGAGCGAAGGCGCCTTGCGAGGCGCCATCGTCGGGGCGCTCTACCAGCTGGCGCGGGTCGCCCAGCACTGTGACACCGCGCGCCGCAGCGCGCCGCCTTCGACATGTGCGAGCCTCGTCATGAGGCCAGGACGGGGGGGACTGAGCCGAGGTGAGCCCCCGGAGGAGCTCGAAATCGGCCTTTGCCACCTTGGAGGCCGGCGACATATTTTTTCCCGGAGAGAAGCAGCTATAGCCTATGGTGCTAGCATGGCGCACTGAAGCTTTTTGGGAAGTTGGGAGATGGTAGATCCTTCTTGGCCAATTCTTGGCCCTCCAATGGGACCTGCCGGAAACGCACCTGCCTGCTCCAGACTCAGCCTGCTCCATCCGTGCTGATAGGTGGTGCAGCCGGAGAGCGTCGTCGTGCTCATCACCGAGGCTCGAGTGGGTTCTGGATGAAGCGGGAGCTCAGATAAATCAGAAATATTTGGTGGTTGATGGGGTTAGGCTATGATTTTGTGATGGTTTTGGTGAATTGTGAGAAGTGATGTATAGCTCTCGTTAAATCTATTATACTCTTTATATCTATACCATTCTACACCCCTAAAATGTGATAAAATCACTAGATCCCGACTATACACCCCCAACATGTATTGGTTCCACCGGTGCAGTGCAGACCGGTCATCGTTCTTTGCAGACGAGGTCTCTACTCTTCCCTGGTCGGTTCGTCCTCTCCGCAGGCCTTGCGCATCGGAGGTGCGATCAACGAAGACGCGTCCGGAGAGCCCGGTGAAAGCTTTGGGACGCTCAGATGGCTGTGCTGGTGGAGGTAGAAGGTCCGGTGGAGAGAGAGCTTAGCTTGTGAGTCAAGTAATCCAAAGAAAAGCAAACACGAACATCAACAACTGTGGGGTCCAAATGGGTCAAAGAGTCACAACCTTAACACAAGTCCGAAGCTGGTTTTGTTGTTGACCTCCCCATTGGCCTGCCTTTTTGCACGGCTTCGCTGTGAGATGTTTTAGCGGCAAGCGGCTCATGTGTTGGAGTTTTGCCGGATCCGCAGATCAAAGCACATTGATCCGATTTGACGCACTACGATCGAGGCTGTGGTCCAGCTGCACTGTCTTAGAGAACCTCATTGAGAAGGCACTGACATTTCCTGCCAGTGGTGCTTGGCTGACTGGCTCGGTGGCTCATTTGGTTGTTGACTCAGTCGAAGAGCAGCAGTGCAGCGGGAGCTCGCTTGCGACGTCGGCGTTGGTCGACGTTGGTCGACGCCTGCCAACGCCAGGATCCCCGCATGGCGCAGGTCTTCCTGGCACGAGGAGGCACCCTGCTGGGGCATCGATTGGGTCTGTCCCAGTAAACGTGTAGAGCCAGAGCCGTCAGTAAAGAAGAACATCACTTGACTATTCCCTAGGGATCCAAGTACCTTCTCAGGTACGGTGTTTGGGATGGCTTTGGAGGGTCCAAGTGCCTTCTGAGAAAGTACTTGGATCCAATTTTAGAGATGGAAAGGGCTGCAACCAGACGATCTCATCATCCTTCAGATCCGGTCTCCACAAATACCCTTCCCAATCAGGTGAGCGATTGGAGACTCCCAGGAGAGACTTCCAATCACCGGTACCTCAGAGGGTGGCAGATGGATCACCTTCTGAGCTTGAGCTGTACTGAAGTGCTGAAGTGAATCATTTGCTCAGACATCTTTGGGAGAGGGCGTTTTGATGTCCAACGTTCTGAAGGGGCTTCCATGTCGGAGGGACGCATCAACGCATGGAGGGCTGCGAACAGGAGACTCTCCGTTCAATTGGTGGAAGCCCAAAGAATGACATCATCATCTGATCAACAGTTGTAAAGCAACCAGGTTTGGCTCAAGGTGATTGTTTATGTTTCCCGGTGAAACCATGTGAAACTCTTTCTGAGGAACATCTATTTCTTGTGTTCCTGAACAACAAAGGGACGATCATGTCTTCAGTCTTGGTATGTCTTGGTACACATCCACGAAGCCGGACCCAGAAGTTGGGGACCGCTGCCCGCCGTTCCGCCATAGCTCTTGTCTCAAGCAGCGTGCCCACAGCGGGGTTCCAACCCTTCATGTGGGAGGCCGGAGATGCGGTGCAAAGGAAAGGAACCTTATAGCATGATGTAGCTGCCTACAGATGTTGTGAAAAACAATTATCGGATGTGATTGGTCTTAGTGGTAATTAAGTTTGAACAGTTGTCCTAAATTCATGTCTAAGGCAAATATGATCAGCATAACTCTTGGGACTCTTTGTGGACTCTTGGGTACAGAAGGCAGTGATGCTTCTCACTTCTTCTGTCTTGGAATGAAATCTACCTGAAGGGCACTGTGGCCCCTCTCCATGTAGTTACAATGTGTTCAACTATGCCCAGATGCATCAACCGTATCCTCACATGTCCAGACTCATGTATGAGTTGACATGCAGTAGCTGGGCAGTCAGTATGTCTTGAAGGCCGCAGGTTTTTGCACCCCGAAAGGCCGAAACACAGTGCGTCCTTGTCCATGCTGCCCCCCAACAGTCAAGCCGCGACAGAAACTCCCCAACAATCTAAAGAGTGAGCACCTGATTCTATCTATAGCACAAGAGGTTTCGATACGAAGAAGTTGTACCTTCAGAAGGAATTCACAGGATGTTGGATCCTCCTTAGACGAAGCCTCTATGAACTGGGGGGGGAAAAACATACCCCATATATAGATCCTCTCCATGAATGACATGTTCACAGGGATGATTTCGGTAGAACGTCCAATCATCCAATCTGCCGAACGGCATAAAGGGATTCTGGTACCCATCTTGTACCCAAGGATCCTGTTTTCATAGAGCAGGAATTCAACCGGACTTTTGGGGGTCTCGATGTCGGATTCATCTCAGGCCGACATCCCATGGACCAGCTGATCCGAGCACCTGGGAGCTCATTGAGTCGAAGAGCGAGCGACCGAACTCTCTCGGTGGTTCTGTTGGGTTTCGCAGATTTTTGGACCTGACGAATTGAACCAGTGAAGAAACTGGAGTGATTTAGAACCAGTCCTATTGAGCATCATCAGGTTTCTTTCCTCAGACTAGAAGGAACAGACTGAGTATTAAGATGTATTAAGTATAGAAGGAACATGATTCAGCGCGGCTTTGAGTCAGAGGCTCACACACTCACACTATCTCATCTATCTCACACTACATCTCAAAATGAGAACAGAAGAGTCGAGTGAGGCTCCTCAAGGATCGTCGCCTTACCATTTCAATGAGTCCTGCCATTTGGACTTCCCGTCAGTAGCATTCCAGCATCTTCCCCCAGCCACCTGCACCTCACTGACCCAACCAGCCACTCCTCCTATACCTCCTACCTCCCAAACAAATCGCTCCCATCGATTTCAGCTGTTCCCTTCACCGAAACCAATCAACAGACCTACCTCCCAAACGATCGAGGACATCTGTTTGACGCCGGCGCGGGCGGCCGGGGACTTGATCTCCAAGAGTTGGTATAGCTTCAACTTCCGAGCCATTCGGGAGCTCGTGCAGGCCGTTCGTCGCCGAACGGAGCTCGCTCGTTGGGGTGATCTGCCCGGGGGGGGGCTGGTCTGAGGGCATACAACTATAGAGGCTCATCGTTGTTTGATGCTTTTGGGAGGGCTTGCAAGGTGTCTTGGTTTTCGGAACATCCTCTTCCATCTGCAGGTTCCGTGTGAATCCAGGTTTCATGATGTTCCATATGGTAATTCCTTTATGGGGTGTACCACAGATTATATACCATAAATCGATTCCAGCCACTGCACCGCCACTCCGAGTCCGTTTGCACCGCTTCAAGTCCGTCGTACGGTCGTCCGTCGTCGCCTCGCCGTGCGTCTCTCTCGGCCGTCGGCAGGATCCATCTTACAGGCCCGAAGATCCAGAACCCGACGAGCCGGTTTTAGAGGCGAGGACCGAGGACCGAGGACCGGAACTCGTTGAGAGGAGCGACGGACCGGTGAGTGGTGCTTCCTTTTGTACGCACTTTTGTTGTTTGGGGTATACTTGTATACCCAGAATTTAGAGTGGTACTGTACCATCTTGTACCCAGAATTCAGAGGTTCGAAAGGGTCTCGTTGGGTGGTTTCAGAACATAGGAGTGCACATCAGCCAGATCGTTCGATCTTCTCGAACTTCTCCCATGTGTTTTGCATTTGATTGATGACTGCTTGTTGCAAAGAAACGCAGATAGGTTGGTCTCCTTGGGATGTGATGGTTTTGATGTGACTTCATAGGCGGCGCTGGTTGACAGTGGAAGCCTTCGACGATGAAAACGTCTTTTGAGGGATCTGAACCTCCGATCGGTCGGACACAAACTCTGAATCCGTGGACAGGGCCGCAAAAAGCGCTCTTCTGTTGGATTTTCATGCAGGGAAGGGCACTGACTCGGGAGCTCTCTGACTCACTCACTCACTCAGAGATGGTCCAAGCCATCGAGTGCTATATCATAATATAAAGAGAGGGGGGGAAAGGTCTCCGGATGGCTTCACCTCTTCCGACGCCACTCATTTCCTGGGGACACTCTTCTGATGGATCCCAAACTGGTTTGAAGGACACCCTGCAGGTGATCACCGTGGTGATTCGTCGCCGTGATCCGCTTCGTCCTCGCTTCGCCGTCGCCCCAGGTGGTGATCGGCGATGCCGAGATCCAGGAGATTGAGACGTCGAACTTCGAGTCTTCCGTCGAGTCACTGAGTAGGTCAGTACCAGTACTTCGTATACGACGTTTTGAGTAGCATATCCCAAAGCAACGCAAGAGGAAAACCGGCAAAAACAACACAATTATGAAAGCCCTGAGAGATGCTCTTCTGGCATGTTCCATAAATACTAAGAAGCTTCTATCATTGAAGTGGGTTGTTGTAAACTCAAATTGATTGTAAGATAATTTGGATATATTTGGATCATGTACGTGTCACTTATTATGTGTGTCACATGTTCCATGCTTCAATGATCATCACATCGCCTGGGGGTTTTCCGGATCGGGTTGTTGGTGTGATTCTCCGCTATCGTCGATGAAGCCCCTGTCGTTTCGTTGGGAAGTCGTTGGCCGATGGAGGTCCGATTCCTTCGACCAAGCCCAAGTGCCCGACGTTTGTGACGTTCCACGTGTGGAATCAGTGCGGAAAGAAGCTGCTCGAGGTCTGAGTCAATCCACCAGAACCATCCTCCAGATATCTCCCTAAACCTTCAAGGGGTGTCCTGTCTGGAGGTCCAGTGCTGTAGGGGCTTCCATTGCTGACCCCGACATGAAGGTGCTGGTCCAAACTGGATGGTTTGAGTGATGTTGAGGGTATGATTCTGGGATTCGAACAATCCAGGCTATTCTGGGATTCACTGGCCGTTCTGTCCGCTTTCTTATCGACCTCAACCGCGGGAAGCTGCAGGAGGCCAGCGGCACCGGTGGTCCTCTCTTCGTCAGGCGGAGAATCAGCATTTGAGGGTTGGAAAACATACTCCGATTCATCCACAAATAACCTAGCCCACTGTTTCTGTATGTTTTTTTGTCATTTGCAATGTCCTTTTGCTTATGTAGCCACTCCAGGATGAAAACAATTCCAAGTCTCAAAGTCTATAGACCACATCAATTTTCCGCCAGGGTCTCCATGGATGGGGAGAACGTTGGAGAGCCTTGGGCCTATAGTACTCTACGGCGCTCTAATTGGGGCAGATGAGGTCGACCAATTTGCAGCATGTGCTTGCAGTAGAGGTGCTTGGAGCTCAGGAGTTCACCCAAAGTCGGACTGACACAGACATTCGCAAATCATTCGGATTTGAGCCTCTTCCAGGGAGTTTGGGTTGCGGGATTTATTTTTGGGCCTTGCGATGTGGATCGACACCATGTTACCATGCGATGTTGGAAAGAAACATTTGTTGCATTGAAGCTCGAGGTTCCATCAGGAGAGGATAAGAAGGACTATAAACACTGAAATGTAACACCCTTATAAGCTTATATATTGGTTGACATATTACATACATGACTAAACACTGAAATGCAACACTCAGTGCTAACACTCAGACCTGTTGGTTGACCTCTTGGTTTCAACGAGTCAGAGTACACGTGCAAGGCCTTGGGCGACCCTCGCAGATCCCCAAGCCAAGCCTAAGCCTCCTCCAGCTTCGTGTCTCCCTGGCAAAAAGCATCTGAACACCGAAGTCCATGTTGGATTTCCAAACCGGAACGCGCTCGCAACACCGGAATGCCACGGGTTTTCGGATGGTATGTTTCTCCCATCAGTGCTACCCGAGCGCTATGGCATGCGTGCTTGAACACGTGAGCTGGACATGTTCCGGGACCTTTCCCCCAAGGC